ATGGGAAGACAAATGGACCAATCCAGGTGTTTCCCAGTTGGAGAGAGTCCCTCCGAGCAGTGAGAAATTAGCTGGGGTGAATTAAAGCCAACATCTCTTCTGGAGAAGGTGGCAAAAGTCAAGATACTTCAGGGGCTCACCCCTCAAAAGACTTCTGGAAGGAATTTGTGGGGTAAGAAGCATCCCCTAAGGTAGCAGTAAGAATCCAGGTGGCTGATGGGGGAGAGGGGAAGAAATAGAAAATGATGGCCAGGGCCGAGGGAGAGCAGAGATTGTTGAAGGGGAGTTCTACCAGGGAGAAGTTTCTCAGAGTCTCTCTCCCTTCGTTCCCCGAGAACTCCCTGTCACTTGCAATCTGCTGATTAGGGTTAATGTATTATGTCCTGATATGGCAGATTAAAAATGAAATCAATAAGTGCCTAAAACAAATGGGCTTTTGAGATGTCCCATTCAATCTGAGTCTTTAAGAGTGAAGCAAGAAGAGGGGGAAGGAGGCCGAGAGGGGAGTAAGGACAGGAGCACTTAAGCAATCAATTTCAATCCCAAACAGTGTGTGGATAAAGCAATTTCTAGGTACCTTTCCTTCCTTTTCAGGGATCAGCCTTAGATAACCCAGAATAACCCAGAGTTTGTGCTGTTGTTTAGAGTCTTTGGGCTTTGTGGGTGTGTGTGTTTATTTTTTTCCATTTGTCTTAAATTCATACTGTTTGGTCAGTGAAAGTATGCAAGAGACTTAGGGTCTCCAGTGACCTCATTCCTATCCTCTAGAACTCCATCCCACCTGCCAATAAATTAAAGGCCAATTTCACCTTCAGCGGCGGCGGTGGTCCCTCCGTCCCCAGCCCTGTGGCTTAGCTGACCAGAGCCTCACCCATTCACCCAGAATCAGAGTTTTGGACAGGAGGACGCAGAGTTTTCTCAGGTCACTCAGACTCCATTGCAATATTCAGAATTGTCCCAGCAGAATCTGTCTCCCATGTAAATAACCTGAGTTATTAAAGTGTAAATTGCAACTTTTAAGTAATGATTGCTAATAGTCTAATGTTTACCGCTACACAAGGGCATTCATGAAAACAAAATCTGCATTCTTCATCTCCATATTCAATAAACAAAATACACGAAGAGAACCGTTCTTTCCTGCCAGCACTCCCTCCTCAGATCTGTTTAGTCAGAAAGCATCCGGAGGTCCACAAGTTAGAAGCATCTAATCGCTTGGGGCGATTTCTACAGGGGCAGAGCCGGGTGATCTATGGACCTGCTAGATATTCCTGTATACCTGAGCACAGAGGACTTGGTGTTCTGTCGCCACTGGCTGGCATGGATTGAAAAATAATAGTTGAGGGTTGTGACATAAAATACGTAGTGCACGTGTGTGTGTGCTCAGAGACGGAGAGACACGTTGTTGGGATCAGGAGGGTTCGTGTGTGTCTACAGTTCAAAGATCTTGAGCACTGTGCATCTTATAAAATACAACCCCAATCCACACATTGTTCTGTTGTATTCTACCATCCTGCCATCTTCTCTATCTTTTCTAAAATGAGTGGGGAGGGAGTGATGTTAGTACAGCATCGTGCAATATTTCAGGTAAAAGTGGCGCATTTTTAACAGTGAGTGAAATATACATCTTACCAAGTACGCCAAACACGCTCACACACATAGCCATGTCCTGAGGGCAATACAGGCTTCTTTCTCAACTTTTTTTTTTTTTTGCATTAAGTGACAGAATGGAGCAATTGCATAGTGTTAGGAAGCCAGGAAGAACACCATTTGGGAAGAAAATGTTCTGACTTAGCTAGCTCCCTAAAGAGAATTGCCTACCTCACGTTCCTTCCCCCTGCAGGGGGAGGAATAAAGCAAATAAAGACTAAAATTCTCCATCGCTTACGATACCATCCTGTCTGTTCTATTTGGATACCTGCTTTATTTTATTAGAAAGTCCTGTGATTCCTTGAAATGTACAACTTAAAAACGAATAATGCAAAGGGATCTAATAGCCTTGAACTGTTGTTGGAGGAAAAAAGTACCCCAAGAGGGCCTCATCTCTGCTTCCTTTCCAAGCTTTTTCTATCTTCCATTATTCATTAATCAAGCTGGAAATCAAGCTTTCAACATGAGTCCATGGGAGTAATTACTTACAGTTGTGCATTGTATTTAATTTTAAGCAGTGATAAAAGTTAGGATGGCCACAGCCTTCCAGCCCACCCCCACCCCCTTCTCGGAATGTTAACTGGAGAAAAGATCCCAACGAACTTTGCTTGTGCATAATCATCTCTGCTAAAACAGAGTAGGCATTGATGATCTCGGAGTGGAGGGAAATGGGAGAAAAGCTCTGTGAAAAATGATCTGCTTTATTAATATGGGAGCAAATAAGTACCCTAAGAGAGGCCTCGCTGTGTATGAGCTGACTTCTCTCCCTTCAACTCAAGAAAAAGATTTCCACTTCTGGAGAAAATAATGCCAGACAAACGAACATGCAAAAACACTAGGAATACAACAGGCCACAAAACTGAAACTATAGCCCCAAGTTCCTAACACACAGATGACAGACAGATAAGACAGATAGACAAACAGACAGACAGATACACACACATGCACACATGCGTGCTTGCACACACACACATACACACACTCACACACACATACACACACTATGATAAATAGACTAGCCAGTACCGATAGACACCAGCTTGATGGAAGGGTCTAATTTAAATAATGTGAAACTGCGTCATTTTATGTACACCTGGATCCTCATTGATCAGAGGATAATTATAATCAAAGTAGTGCAATTCTGAGCAATGCACTTTTTGTAATGAGCTTACGAAAGGAGACAGGGCCAGTCATTCTGGTAATTTAAATCACTGCCTAGTTGTTGATGGCCTTTACCGGAAGAACAAGAGGGAGGAGGTAAAAAAAAAAAAAGAGTAATTTTCAGGACAGTATCACTTCTTGCTGGAGCATAGCCCAGGGTTCTCTTTCAGGACAACAAGAATATTATCTCAAATAATCCAGCTACATTTAAACTTCTGTTGCCAGAACCAGACGAAGCACGCTCAATCTTCCTGAATCTCCAAGGCCATGGACATGGCTGTCAGATTAGCTAAGTAGGCAAAGTTTTTTAAAAAATAAGGGAGCTATTGTTTTCAAAAGAGGTAATTAGAGTTGAGAAAAGAAAACTTCACGGCCTAGACAAGTTCCAAATATATATGGTACTAAGAATATTTTCGTCCTTTTGCTCTTAGGGAGAAAATTGGAAAAATCTATGAATCAGAGATTTCTAAATGGTATTTCCAGGTGCAACTCAAAGCAACCTGCAAATGGTTACGGAAGCAATCCTGCACTCAAAAGAAAAGGTGACGGAGGGTATTTTCAAGCCCATGCAGTGCCAATCAGGCTAGAATCACAACCATGGAGAATAAGCTGGTGATCAGCAAGTTCAGACACACATGTTCACTTTCCCCACATGCCTAACCAACTTCGGATCGCTCCTAAGGGGGACTTGGGGAAGTTGGTGAGTGTTTCTCGGAACTTCTCACCGTGTTTCACTTGAGTTGGAACAGAATAAAATGTGTCCAGGAGTTTGGAGAAGACTAGTTTTAACTAATCCTGCCTACAGCAAGAAGGCAAAGACAGAGAATGGGATGTGTGTGGGGGGAACAACAACATAATAACAACAAAATTTAAGCTTTTTTTCCCTCTCCCCCTACAGCCCTAATTCAACTAAAGGAAACAAAGAAATAAAAAAAAAAACACCCACATTAGAAGCTAAACAAGATAATAATTGTGCATGTCTGGCTCTGAATATAGAGGGTAAGGCTTGCATCACCAGCACTCCAAGTTACCATGGTGAGTGATTTATTGATATACATCAAGAATGAATAGATCAAAGGCAGGGAGATGACAGGTGATCAATCAGATGTCAAATCAAAACTAGCAATCAAGTGGAAAGCTGATTTTTCAGTGGGTGGGTCTGGCAGGAGAAAAATGAACTTTCATATTACACTTCCGAGAAGCAAAACCCCAACATACTGTTAGAAAAGCAATTAAGCTACCCCAAAGAAATAAAATAAAGTCTCGTGGACAAACCATTGAGCCCATCCGCTAACCTGCTCCTAGTTGTTTCTTTTTGGCAAGGGGTTCCGGCAGTAAGTAAGGATTCAGACCGGATGGTCCTATCATACAAAGTTCCTAACTCTCTCTGGGCAAAGAAAATTCAGAGCTGTTTAAATTTCTAGTGGGGGCACCACCAGCCACCCCCTTTTCCTTTTCCTTTTTTTTATTTAAGAGAAAGGACAGGGCTGATTAAGGTTTCTCAACATGGAACCTTTTAGAACAAATCCCGAAAGCTCCATCCATCTCCTAAGGTACGGTTTTCCGATCCTGGAGATCCAAGCTCAACTCGCATTGCATTGCGTTGCTCACCCCCAAGCCAGCCGGTGCAGCCCCGGGGCTTGGGCCTGCCCCACACACACCCCAGCGCCCCAGCGCCCCAACCCCAGCAGAGGAGACGCTGTCCCTGGAGGCCAGAAACTGCTGGCACTGCCCACACCGCCACCACCACCACGCGCGGGAGAGAGAGGGGTGCTTGGGCGGAGGGACCCGTCTCTCTCAACGCCGCACCCCAAATCCTCAAGCCGACTTTGGCTCCAGAGGCAAGCAACAGACTGGGAGAAAAGTTAGGGGAGGGGTAGAGGGTGGAGGAGAAAAAAGTTTAAAGAAGGCAGGCTTGGCGGGATAGCGTCCCCCCAACTCACCCCGCGGAAGCCTGGGGAAGGGGGAGGATTGGGGAGACCAGAGAGGGCGAGAGGAGAGAGGAGGTTATTGGGGGGGGGGGTACCCAGAGCAAACTCCTCCACCACCACCTCCATCCTTCCCCTCCCCCCGAAAGCTGGAAGGGGTGGCGTCCCGGGGCACCCCCGGGCACGGAGGGCGGGCGCGGAGGCCGGCGCGCAGGGCAGCCGGGGTGGGCAGCCCCGCGGCGGAGCCGGAGCCGAGTCTCTTACCTGCCGCCCGCTTGGGTGCCTGCTGTTTTCTCCTTGGCATCGCTCTACTCCGCTCCAGTCCCACTTCTGGCGCCCCAGCCCGAGCCGCACGCGGGGGCCGCTGTCTGGCTCTCCGGGCGTCCTCCGCCTCTATGCCCGGTGGCTCCTAGGACGTCACTCGGCCTCTGTCCCCCCGACGAGCCCCCTCCGCCGGGCCGCGGGGACCCCCCCCCCCTCCGTGGGTGGCGGGGACGGCGGCGGCTCGCTCGTGGCGGCGGCTTTCAAGTGGAGCTGGTTTTCCGCCTTGTTTGTTTGTTGGGTTTTGGTGTTGTTTTGGTTTTTTTTTTTCCTTTCTTTTTTGTTTTTTTTTTCTTTCTGCTTTTGGATTTTTTTTGTTTGTTTTTGCTTTTTTTTTTGGTGACTGGTGAGACACTTGATTTCTTTATTAAACATCCAAGACCGTATTCGGAAGGAAGGGGCGAGGGGCGCACACGCGCGCCACGCGCACACGCGCGCGCGGAAAGATAAGGGAGGGGGGAAGCAATCCTGGGGAGGTAGTGGGTTTCTTCTTCTTTTCCTTCTTCTTCTTTCTTCTTCCTTTTCTTGTTTCCCTCCTCCTCCTCCTCCTTCCTCCTCCTCCTCCTCCTCTTTCTTCCTCCTCCTCCTCCTCCTCCTCCTCTTCCTCTCGGGTCTCGATGGCGGATTCGCGCACGCAGCGGGAGAGATCAGTGGAGGTAGGTTTGTGGCTGCTGTCAGATCCCGTCTGTGAGTGATATGCGAGAGGACAGCAGCAGGGTTGGGAAAGACAGAAAATCTGGAATTCACTCACTCACTCACTCACACACACACACACACATTCACACGCGCGCAAGCACACACCCAGACACACACGCACACACACTCACCCCCACATAAGCACACACACACACACTCACACACACTCTCACACACACAAGACAGGGCGAGGCGATGCCAGCGAACATCGATCCCGCTGAACAAACTGAACCCGAAGAAACTCCTCCTCCTCCTCCTCCTCCACCTCCTCCTCCTCTCCCAGCGACCTGATGACAGCGAGAAATTTACTCCCCAGCCGCAAAGCGCCCGGCACAGCCAGTCTATTAAAGGGACAGTGTCCCGCCGGGGAGGGGGGGGAGGGCTGGGGACAGGGGACCTCTGGCGCGCCAAGCCTCCCCCCCCTCCAACCCTCTCTCTCGCCTCCGTGCATCCTGATCGCTGGTGAGCCGGTGTGTGCCCAGCTGGCACGGGATGCCCCTCGGGGAGGAGGGCTGAGGAAGGGGCATGGGAAGGAGGTGGGGAGGGAAGGGGACGGGAGGACCCGGTGTTGTTGAACTTGGGAGTTGGGCAGGCAGAGCAGGTACCAGCTAGAGGCTGACCAGAAAGGGCGGGCCACCGAGTGAGGAGGGAGAACCCCTGGGGTTGCTGGGGTTGCTTGGGGGTGGAGTGGGGGGAGGGCACTTGATGGGGAAGCCCTCCATCCTGGAAGTCCCAAGCCGATATTCCTTTAAGTTGAATGCCGGCATCCTGCCGACTTCTTCTTAACCAATCTGATCATTAAAACAATTTTTAAAAAAGAAAACCAAACTCTCTACTGCCTCATAGTCTAATCGTGTGTGTGTGTGTGTGTGTGTGTGTGTGTGTGTGTGTGTGTGAACTTGGAGCCTCCAGCTCTTGCTTAGGCTTTTCTAGGCTAGCACTGTACCACTTGAGCCATTACTCCCCTCCCCTCCCCCAGTTCCAGCTTTTTACTGGTGAAATGGAGGTAAACCTCTCTAAGACTTTCCCGCCCAGATTGGCTTTGAATCTTGAATCTTTGAATCTTCTCCGATCTCAGCCTCCCGAGTAGCAAGGATTAGAGGGATGAGCCACCAGGACCCAGTTATCTCGGTGGTTTGTTGTTTCCTTGAGGCATGCTTATGGAACATCTACTGTTCACTGAGCATCTGCTACCCTTGTCAGTAGTTACATTGTGATGGGAGAGTACAGAAGTTGCCCCCAGGACTGCTATTGCTTAAATGTTCTCCCAAAATCTACCTTGCCACACACACACACACACACACACACACACCACACACACACACACACACACACACCACACACCACACACACCACACACACCACACACACACACACACACACCACACACACACACACACGCACACACACACACGCACACACACACACACGCACACACACACACACACACACACCACACACACACACACACACACACCACACACACACACACCACACACACACATACCACACACACACACACACACACCACACACACACACCACACACCACACACACACACACACACACACACACACCACACACACCACACACACCACACACACACACACACACACACACACACACCACACACCACACACACACACACACACACACACCACACACACACACACACACACACACACATCTCATCCTATTTTTCTCCATTAGGCTTATTGACATGACGTATTTCAGGTCTAGCTTTGTATTTGGTTAATTGTCTGAGATTGTTCATGAAAGATCAACACCTTGGGGTGGAGGATTTTGGCTCCTTTGGTTCCTCACATCCTCCGCTGATAGCAATATGTTTGCAGAATGAATGAAAAATCAGCAACAACATATGCAGCACAATTTCGGTCATGAGATGTTCCATGATGGTGGTAAGATTTGGGGTGTAACAGGCTCAGCGCCATATTGATGTCCTCATGATACCCTCTGCATCATCCTGACACCGACCTGTGGTCACTGTGTGATGCCGCAGACCCAGAACCTTTGGTGCTGTTGGGGACCTGTCTGTGAACAGAATGAGACCTTCCCCTGCCACAAAGAGCTTCAGTTTCTAATGAAGAAAGGGTTCACAGGCAAATGACATGAGCAGGGAGAGGAGGTGGCCCTAGGGCTGGCAGTGAATACTGGGACAGGAGGGAGGGAAGGAAGACCACCAGATAAGAAGACAGGTAAGAAAGAAGGAAGGAACAAAGGAAGGAAGGCAGAAGACAGGAAAGAAAGAATGAAGGCAGAAGATAGGAAAGAAAGAAGAAAGGAAGGAAGGAAAGAAGGAAGAAAGTAAGGAAAGAAGGATGGAAGGAAGACAAGATAGGAAAGAAAGAAGGAAAACAGGAAAGAAATAAAGAAGGAAGAAAAGGAGGAAGGAAGGGAGGGAGGGAGGGAGAAAGGAAAGAAGGAAAAAGGAAGGAAGGAATGTTAGCAGCTGGGGTTTCCTGGGAAAAGGGAAGTTTAAGCCTAAATGTTTAGGAGGGACAGAGGACAGGGAATTCTGATATAGCTGCACTTATCTTAAAACAACAGGCTTATTGAAAGCTCCTATGTCCTGTATTAATAGTCACTGGAACCCTTGTAGGCCTGGGTACCATGAACATTTGGGGCCAGAGAGTACTTGGTACAGTGTAGAAAATTTAATAGCAACCCCCAGATTCTCCCCATTAGATATAAGACTCCTACCATAGGAGTCTTGTGATGACAAGAACGATTTCCAGACCCTGTACAGTGTCCCAGGGGGCAAAAATAGCCTTTGATTGAGCTCCTCTGTCTCAGGCCTCCTAAACCAGAAACTTCCTCATGAAGGATCTTGAATCTGCAGGTTGAACCACCCAACCCCAACCCCACGAGTGACCCTCCTGTTCACTCCAATTCGACAACTTATGTCCCAAGAGTTGTTGTTGTTGCTGTTTTTCTTCTTCTAGAGTCAGACAAACCCAATATTGCTAAGACACACTAAGACAGGAATATAATCTAGAGGCAGAGGTGAGATTGTCAATGCATGGCGATGGAAGAGCTCATGTCCGTACCCACCAGTGGTGACCTCCCACCGTCTACCCTCTTGCCCGCTTCTGTCCCCCCTCCTGGGTCTTTCTGAGCCGTAGTTTCGGGACACTGGAAGCTTGGTATTCCCCATCCTGTCTGTCAGCCACAAAGTGTTATTGTAACTGTTGGCAAAACTGGTGAATCATTTTCAACATCCCCAGGCGTTTCTCATAAGAGTAACACAGTTGCAAAGTCACCTGCCCCAGACCACCCAACAGCTCCCACCCATCACCGGCCCCACCCAGTCCCAGCTGGCAACTGGGCCTGGGAAAATCCTATTTTAGAATTGGTAGAGTCAGTAAGAGGATAACTGTTCAAACCACCCATTTATACAGCCCTGAGCTACAGACGGTGGCTGATGGATAAAACCAGAGTCTCATAGACAAGGAATCTCAGCGAGAGCACCAGGAATTGCAGCTTCTTGGCCTCAATAGGAAGAGAATGGAGACCACTGGGACCTTCCCTGTAGCCAGAATTGCCCCAAGCAGGAGAATGCTGGCGGGCTAACATAGAACCCTGTCCTCAGAAAAGATCCTACAAGAATGCCTTCCAGGACCCTGGTAAGAACCAAAGGGGTCTCCAGCAGCTGCTGACCGTGACCTCAGCTCCTCCGGACCTCTTCTGCTTCCTTAGAAACTTCCCTCCACCTGCTCCTGATCGTCCATACGCTGGATATGGAAAGGGGGATTCTTTAACAAAATGAACACCAGGAGGCTAGAACTGGGGTGTCGAGGTGGTAAGGCCAAAAGGAAGGGGGTAGATGAATGAAGAGAGACAGGATGCGAGAATTCAGTTATAAGAATGTATGTCTGTGAAAAATGGAGCCTGGTAACTTGAGGGGATGCGAGAGGGGGGCGAGGAGGAGGGTAGGATGGGAGAGAATGACGGAAGGGCTGACATGGTCAAGACGCATTGTCCTCATACCCTGACGCATTGGCTAGGAGCCCCCTTGAACAACTACTCAACTTTAAAAGAAATCAAAAAATGGTGATGGACTGAAGAAAAAAAAAAGGAGGCGATAACTCTACACTCCTTCTGGGTAGCTAGCTCCCTGTTGTGGGGCCCGCATTCTCTGGAGTGTTATTTTGTTGATTTGTATTTGTTCTCATGGCTATTAACAGAGCATTTAATGTACCTTATCTATCAAGAAAGTTCGGCTACCAGTGGAATATGCCACGCTACATCACTGCACCTGCGTACTGATGCAAGGTGTAGACCAGGCCTTAGCCGTGAATCTCACGGTGAGAAAGTTGTTTTCTTGCAGTTGTCTTTCAGTTTGAGGAAGTTTCCATCCACAGCTGGTGTCTTCCCCAAACATCAGCTGACTTCTGTTCTTCAACCAGTAT